AATCAAAAACGAGAGTGGGGGGGGGGGGGGGGGAGGGGGAAGAAGCTACCTGTAAAGCTGTATCTGTAAGGATATAATATTTTTAGATACTGTTATTCCAAGAGGCAAAGCAGAAACAAAATGTACAGATTCAATATTGTGACCCTAAATGTATAGAGGGAATTTCAGGAGAAAAATGACCCTGAGAATTTTGTGATGGGAAGTTACTTGCAAATTGTTTTGTACACACTCCTTGGCCTTGTAATGGGACATAGAGGGCTGTCAGTGTGACATAGGAAGTCACCGATCCAACACACAAGAATGGTCTCCTTGTCTTTCACAGTTGAGGCAGGTAGGCTGTCTTGTCCAGGGGAAATGTACAACCAATAAGTATTTATGGGGTTTGGTCAGAATTTAAGTGAACTGAAAAAATGTTCCAGAACTTTGCAAATTTCTAGAGTATAACTTCACTGTTTTGTTGCAGTGACACAAATCACGTAGTGCTCATTTAGTTTAAATGTGAATTGGCTGTCAAAGAACACTGTTCCGTTGCAGATTTACTGGTGTATATTTTGCTATGCCAGACAGTATAAGTTTCAAATATATTAACAACTTAAGGCTAATTAATTAAATATACAGAGGGAGCTAAGTGTAGAAAAATGTAGATAAAGAGTAGCCTTCTCAGTTACCTTAATTTCTCTGTTTGTTAGTTTAAGATTGTGTATGTGAACTTTGAACAAGATAATTTTTTTGACAATATAGAGTAAGAAATACTAATCTAGTATTTCATGGATAATTCTTTCAGGCTTGCATTGTGTCAAGACGCTGCCTCTAGTTGGAGCTTTGATATAGCTGTGCGAGTCCAATATCTTGTTGCCTCTCAAAGAGGCAAGCCAGTATCTAGCCTCTCATGCTTGTTCTGCTGCTGTTAGTTCCTTTGCATCATCACTGGTGCTTTTTTGACCTTGCATTGAGGCATATCAGGGAGCTAAGTCAGCTACTTCTTTGTAGCATTAGTTTCCTGCTGGTTTAGCTCTATTAGCTAGCTAATGTTGGAATAAGATGAGAGGCAGTCTAAGGGTGATAGTAAGGATAGATGTGTGGGAATAAGATTAGGAGGTCTCTTGGCTGCCCTGTCTGGTAACAGCAAGTTGTGTCATAAATTCTTTCCCTTCAATATATAGAGGAATTGCACTTCACTACCAAATTTAACTCCAGATCCAAATTTGGAAGTGATACACATAGTGATATCAATCTAGAAAAGTTGGTCAGAGGCTGGTTTTGAGGCATGAAACAGCACAGAAGCAAAGCTGTCCCCAGTCTGGAGTTCTGCAGAGCACAAATTCAGACTTATGTAATGAGGTTCAATTTAGTTCAGAAGTGTTTTACTGGTAACACATTTTAGATGAGCTGTGGAGCACTGAAAATTATGCAGTATGAGATAAGAAGAAGCAATATGTGCTTCATTTCCATCTCTCTTGCACACAGGCACACACACATACACAAACTCTTTTCCTTCAAAACCTGTTCTTTTCATCCTCTGTCTCTTTGGCTTGGAAGTAATTATCTTTTCCAAGTCTTGCAGCTGTCAAAAGTGCAGTTTGCTGTTCAGCTTCATTTTCTGATCAATGTGCTATTAGTGTGTTTAAATTGCAACAGAATTTGCCCAAGATCTAATCCTGCCATGTACATAAGTATTAGTCTAGACTGTACTTGCTTGACTCTATTTATTGTAAAAAACAAAGCAAACTTGTGCAAAAAATGATGATCAACTTCTGCTTAAAAGAGATGCTGATGTTTATTGATACTTACTAGAATGAAAAGTTATATTAATTAATATCATAATATTCAATACATTAACACTCCAAATGTGCCTACTAAATATTACTACAGAACAGTAAATTTTCCATCTTTATTATCAGGTTCCCTTATTCAAGTCCCTTCAGTTGAGAGGGGGAAACTTAGTAAAGTTCGTCTGGGATCATTATCTTTGAAGAAAGAAGGAGAAAGGCAGTGCTTCTTATTTACAAAACATTTTTTAATTTGTACAAGAAGTTCAGGAGGAAAACTGCACCTTCTTAAGGTATAGATTTTAAATTATGGCTCAGTTTACAAAATGAAAACACAGCTTCAGTGAATTTTCAATATTTTATTATTTTATGGCTTTAACGTGAGATTTGCATGTGTTGTTATAAACAGAAGTGAGGTGATGGACAGAAGTTAACTGCTTTGTCTTCTCATTGCAAATAATAGAATTCAGCCAAAGTTCTTACTAACTACAATTTTTTTTCTAGAACCGTGTAATTCTAATAAGCTGGGAGTTAAAAACAAGACATTGGCGTGTCTATTTGTATAAGCTAGCACTGAATAGAAGTCAGTTTTCAGTCCGTAAATCAGCCAGTACAACCCCATGGAATTACCAAAGAATATTTTCCAGAGCTCTAATAAAATTAATTTTAAAAGTCAATTCTGTTTTCCTGAACAGCACATTCTCTTAAACTGAAACCTCTTCTAAGAATACTCTAGTTATATTTGTTGAGAATCAGGCTTTCATACTGTTGGCTTGTGATTAAAGAGATGTTGGTAGTTTACAGAGTGGATTATGTTGAATAGAATTTTAATTTGACAAAGACATTTCCGAGAGGTTATTGAAACTGTTTGTATGCTTTCTCACTTTTCACCCCTTACATCATTCAAGTATTTTGCAAAATAAATAGAGTATAACTGAACCTTTAAAAAAAATCTTGTATGTATTTGATTTAAATTCAGGAGAAGATAAAATTCTAGTTACCTTTTTTGAAACTTGTGAACAAGTCTGTATGTGAGATTAATTATAATCATGTAAAAATGAAAGAGATTTTGTACATGTAAGTATATTATTAATTTGTGGGATTAAGAAAAATGCTGTATTTTATCTATGTAGCTTTAGTTCTTGAGGAAAAATGTGCATCATGAAATTGATGTATCTTCCTAAGAGCTCTGAGTAATGTAAAACCTTAAAGTAAGGTATATCAAAGTTTAAAAATAACTATAATGACAAATGGGAACAAATGTCAAAATTTGTGAAAAATGTGCTTTGTTTTCATAGACAGGAGGTGTTCTGTCTTTAATAGAGTGCACATTGATCGAGGAGACAGACACGAGTGATGATGATTGTAAGTTAAATTCAGCTGTTTGTAGTAATTACCATTTCTAGTTTCTTAAAATTGGTACCCTTTGTTTATTTTTCATAAGAGCAAATTGATATGTTCTCGCCTTTCATAAAGCCAGAGGAATACAGCATTGAACTGATTCAGTAGAAGAGATGTTTTAATAGTGGGCATGCTGGCTTTGATAAGGGTTTGTTTTGTTGTTTCTTGCTGTTGACATCTCACATAGGATTTTCAAGTAGACTGGCTGAAGGAATGTGACAAATTATTTGCTGACTTTTGTATACAACTTCACCCGGAGGATCTCAGAAAGAAGAAAATATGCCTTAAAAGAAGAAGCAGATAATTGGGTTTCTTAAATACATGGGGGTTGAGTGAGTTGGCAGAATTAGCGGAAAGTTTTTCTCTTGGACTCCCTACAGATCTTGACTGCAAGCTTGTTCAAATGAAATAACAAAACACATTCCCAAGCTGATTTTACTGTTACTCATTTTGGCTTCCATCCTGCAGTTTTTGGCAAGTTTTGCACTTGAATTGTGGAAGTAGTTTCATTAATTTCAGTAATACTTCTAGTATGCTGAGAGTATATCAGCATAGATGTATTAAAAGGATTTTAGCCTTATTTGGTATCTTTAAAAGTAAAGTATAGCAACTCCCACTCCTGCATATTTGCAGCTTTTTTTTTAATTTGGTGTATGTGAAAAACAAAATGAGTTTTGGATCCTGAGTTAGATTTGCTCTTTGTCAGAGAGATGTTTTAAAGTAACTTCTATTTTAAATGAAACCATTATTTTCTTTGTCTTATAGTCTGAAGTCTCACATTTTGACTTTTTTTCTCCTCTCTGGCTGTAAAGCAAAAGGTACTGGACAAGTGTTTGGACACCTTGATTTCAGGCTTGTGGTTGAACCTCCCGATGCTCCTGCTTTTACTGTTGTCCTTTTAGCCCCATCACGACAGGAGAAAGCTGCATGGACAAGTGATATAAGTCAGGTAGCTTAATGCGTTCTTTATCTTGTTTGTATTGAGATCTTAGTTTATTCTGTATTTCTGAAAACTAATCCAGGAGAGGGATATTGATTTCTTGAGGGCTGATTTGCTGTGATACATGTGAAAAACCCTTAGTGTTACATGTTTTCCTCAAAATTCTGTCTTTGCATTTGAGTCATCAGTGATTGATTTCTAAAGGTGCTACCGTTGCTGGCAACATCTCCAGATTAATTGTCATCATGAGCAGAAATTGCTTAAAAATAAGTATTCTGAGTTACTTTCTTGTGGACCAACTTTTTTAAAGGAACAAAAATACGAAGATAAAAATCTCAAAATATGGTATGAGCTGCAACTCAGTGCATACACATCTTACAGACAGACCTGATTGGGGAATTTTTTACAAAATGGATTTTCAGTGAATTGTTCCACTGTTGTTCCACTGACAAGTATTGCAATTATTTGCTGGAGAAGAAATTTCCAGGCCATTTAAGAACTGTCCTGGAACACGGGACACCCAGGAATAAGTAAATTCTTAGCCTAAATAATAATAAATTTAAATGAGAAAGTCATCTGCAGTCCATGTAGACTAGAGATTAGAGTTTGGGTCTGCCTCCAAAGGTCGGGTCGTCTCCTCCAAACCACTCAAACAATGCTACTGTGGTTTTAGGGGAAGAGCTGAAAAGCTCCACAGCTGAATTGAGCTGCATGCCTGCAAAGCTTGGAAGTGTCTTAGGAACGCAGAATTAAACACGACTAGCTGCGTACGGCTGAGAGAGCAAAGGATTGGCCAGACTGCCAGGGAAACAGTTAGAAGGGTTTCTCCCTTGATCCCTCTTTGAGGAAGGGGAGATCTCCCAGCTTTTGAAGACAGGGGTATTCTGAAGAGAGACGGGGCCAACAGTTAACAGAAGCTTGTAAGTGAAAGCCTGAGAAAACTGAGACCTGTTAGCATTGTGAGGCTGAAAAAGCTTCTCCATCCTTACATAGGAAGGGAAGCAAGAGATGCTGAGGGGATAAGCAGCAGCTTAAAAGAGAAGAAGGAGTAAGAAGGGGCACAAGAAGCTGTGCAGACTGCAGACATTTGGGGCATGAATTGGTACCATTGTTTACAAATGGCAATCAAGTCAGTTGACTTAGTACTTTATCTGGAGAGAGCAATAAAGAAGAAAATAACTGGAGAAAGAAAATTTGGGGTGAAAATTTAGATAATGCATGAAAACTTCTAAACAATTGAGATCACTGGTCTCTTGAAAACCAGATTGTGTTTCTGAATGAGCCCATTGCCAGCAGAAATGTTGCCATAAGAAATTACTGAATCGCCTGCCCAGAAGCATTTTTTTCTTTTTAACCCTGTCCACAACCCTCAAGGAGAACATACAAACTATGCTAACAAAAAGGGCCTATAAAAAGTATTTTTCTAGTAAATATGTGTTCTTCTATGTTTGCAAATAAAAAAAGTATACATGTAGTTGCTGTTCACTCACAGCGTTAGTCTTAGTGCCCAGAATTCTGCATCTTATTAAATTATATATGCATAAGACATATAAGTCGTATTTGTCTATATGTTCCTAGTGAGACTTCTTGAATTTATATTCCTTTCATGCAAACCATACACTTCTTATGGAAAATGCATGGGTTTTGTTGATGCTGAAGAAGCCTCCCCTCTTCTAGTTTGAGCTTATTGTCCTTCAGCTCTAGATCCCCTTTATACTCATTCCTTAGCTAGAATGCTAGTATCTGTCAGGGGGGTAGTAAATGCTAGGGCTATGCAGACTGAGGATAACAGTGGTGAATTACCTCAGGCAGTTTTATAATTGGTGCTAAGGGCTTCTTTGCAACATTTAGAATTAATACAGGGGAAATGATGTATTTTTATTAGATTTTTTTTCTCAGTGCTTTTAGGTAACAATTTGATAAAATCATAATGTGAATTGTTACAACTGCACTTTTCAAACAATCTTAACACCTGCATTTAAAAACACATACAGCTACATAGATCATATTTTAAATGTATAGCTATGTTAGATATATTTTAAACCTGAAGCAGTTTCTGATTATCTTGTTTGACCAATCTGACGTCAGTCATTATTTTGCTACGAGACCTTCCAAAGCCAGCAGACTATTTTTATTCTTTAAGTCTAGGTAAATGTATATGATAATTTTGTAAACTCCTTTCTACTGATGTAAAGAAATAATGTTTTTATATATATGTATGCATGATACTTGACAAATAAAACTAGACAGCATTACAAAGACGAGTCCTGTCGTGTTAAGTGGCAGGTACTTGTGGCAGACCATATAATCCTGATCCACTGGCAGATTCTGTGCTGACTTCCAAGAGCAAGGCTTGTGGTGCTCTGTTACCTTAACTACATAAAAGTACAAACCAGAAGATAATGGTGTACAAATGGCTTCGAGCTACCCCTGTGCACTGCCAGCACTGAGCTGCTTTGAGGCTTGAAGAACAGCTTATGCACCCCTAGTTTGTAGACTTCTACTGGCCACAGGACAGCCTGTAATTTCTAAAGCAGTATGTGCTGTGACCGTGCCCCAGAAGTGTCTTTCCAGCTTCTAATACCTAGCTCAAAACATTTATGTAAGAGTTTGCAAGGAGCTCCTTGGACAGCATCTTCATAGCTATGTTTCACAATAAGAGCACCACTTGAATTTGTTTTTACAAGTGTGTTCCTAGCAACTGGTTATATTTCTCTTTGGTCTTTTTGCACAGTGTAAAGGTTAAGGTATTAGTGTATCTGTTTGTGTATAAAGTATTCCAACTTTCTTGCAGTGTTGATTTTTCAAACTTAACTCTCATTCAGGAAATGCTAGAAATATTTAATTTCATTCAGTTTTAAAGAAACTTCAAAGGAAATTTCACTTCCAACTCAAAATACTTAATCCTGTGGGAAGAAGGATGCTGAGCTGAATATCCTGAGTGTGCTGGTAAAGATGCATGGACTTGCAGATGTGCAAATCAAAGGCAGAAGACTAACAAAGCATGTCCACTATAATTCTTGCATCACTGCTTTTCATTTATGAAAATACCTTGTACCAATCAGTCCATACCTTGTAAAATTTATGCTTTAAGCCTACAAAGATAGGAAAAGTGTGAAAGTAAGTCTCCTTACCCTGTGTTTTGATTTCAACAGTTCTCAATATTTGTTTTCACAGTGCATTGATAATATAAGGTGCAATGGTTTAATGACCATAGTGTTTGAAGAAAACTCTAAAGTCACAGTGCCGCATATGATCAAGTAAGTGCATCATTTTTTTCCCCAGTGAATAAAATATCTTCTTGGTTTTTTGTAATAAAAGTTTTAACAAAAGAAAATAAATTAATTTTTTCCCCTGTTTTTGTTCAATGGAATTAATTCTACATCCCAAAATGTATCTTTTCAAATCTTTTTCTGGATATGGTAGGGATGACTCAAAATGGTAAACTCTCCATTCACAGTATTGGACTGTATCACAGCTCAGATTTATCTATTATTTGTGAAGTTGCTTTCAATTATGGTTCAGATGGATAATTTTATTCTCTGTTAGCTTTTCTCTGTCATACCACTCATAATTTTATTGAATGTGTTTTTAAATGTCTTCACAATTTAGGTGACTGCAGACAAGTATCGTTTTCCAAGGTATTTTATTGTATTGGCCAAAATCTTTCTTCTCTTCGTTGCTCTTATTTCTGAGAAAAAATTATTTTCTCTCATAGTTTTAACTGATCACATCAAGGTGACATCATTATTCATTAACCTGCTTCCTTCATCCTTGGAGTCTTTCAGTAATTTATTGTGATAAGTAATTTTTATTTGTAGACAGCAATTTTCAATACATGATTCCAAATTTCTAACACAATTTTACATCTTGGATCCTCTACAGATCTGTATTTACATGAGTTTTACCTACTATTATGCAATATAAATATTAAGGAATAGAATGTAGGGATAGAAACAGAAGTATTTGCTTTCTTACTGTTACCTGTCACTAGACCATTTCTCTCTCTTTGATGTACTCCATACATGAAGCTTTCTCAAATGCCTGTTTTGTAGTTGTTGCCTCTCCTCTCTTTGTATATGTTTAGAGATGAAGAAGAGATAAAATCTGTGAATACACTGTTAGGACATATAACTTTGATCCCAGGAAAGAAGGCATTTTATTGTCTTCACTTTTATTCCAGGAACTCTCCAGTGTGTAAACACTTCTGTTACCTGCTGAATGTTAAAAATATGTTCATCTGTTTTCAAATTGTAGAGTACAGCAAGGTCTGAATCCTAATGTCAAGAGAAAGAAATCTTAATTCTAAAAAAAAGCATACAGGATCTTAACAACAGACACAAATTTGCTGTTCTCTTTCTGAGATTTTACTCATCTGATTTTTAGCACACATTGACTTTTAGAGTCAGATGTCTTTGGATGAAATAAAAAAAAAGGTCAATTTTCTGAGGACCCGACTTAAGAAAGAAGAATTTTTTGGTTGTTTCTTTTATGTAATGCAGTGTAAAAGTGTGTGGAATATCTTGATGGTGTATTCTAAGAAAATCCAATCATTTTTAATGAAAAGAACAGGCAGTATTGAAAGATGCTTTACGTAGTATCTATCCCCTTTTTTTACAAACTAAGCCTTCAACTAGATAAAACTAAGCAAAACTGAATTTGGAAAAAAACCATTGTGAGTAAGGTTAAGTAAATGATTCATTTTTGTTTTGATGTTCAAACAAAAATTAGTCCTTTTTTTTTTTTACTGAAACAAAGCCTCTCCATGGTTTCTGCTTTGAAATTTGAGATGTTTCATGCTGTTCCCTTTTTCTTTTAAAAAAAAAAAAAATTCTTGTAGCCTGAGGGCAGGTGTTACCTTGCAGGTGAGCCTTAAGCTTAGTAAGGAGTTAATTTTCCTCTCTTTTGCTAGGGTCCATTAGTTTATTTTAGATAGAGCTAGATCCCAGCAGAAAATATTGCAATCAGTCTATTATTCTTTTGTTAGCTTCTGCTAAGTTTGGACAACAGTCTGAAAGAGACAAGAAGGGACAATTCTGCCTCCTGTTCCATTTCAGAAATTTAAGCATCATTAATGGTTTCTTAGACTTTGAAATGTAAATTAAGTATTTGTCAAAAATAAAATTTAAATTCCCTTAGTTATGGCATAAAATATAACTGAATGGAAGCAGGTATTGCCACAGATTAAGAGTTTTCTTGTGTTGATGAAATACAAGAATACATATATATTTGGTGATTGTATGTTGACAGGAGCAGCTAAAGTGATATCACTACTGTACCATAGTCATTCTTCCTCTTTGGTAAAATATTCTAAATTTAACTTTGTGTAGATCTGATGCTCGTCTTCATAGAGATGACATTGATATCTGCTTCAGCAAAACACTGAATTCCTGCAAAGTACCTCAAATCCGTTACGCAAGCGTTGAGCGCCTTTTGGAGCGGCTAACAGACTTGCGATTTCTAAGTATTGATTTTCTGAATACTTTCCTACATACTTACCGCATATTTACTACTGCAGCTGTTGTACTGGAAAAACTTTCAGACATATACAGGCGGCCCTTCACTTCCATTCCCGTCAGGTGAGCTCTGGGGTTTTTCCCATCTGTCATAGGTTTCTTACAGAATTACCATGCTGGCATTTGTTGTTGGCATTGTTGAAACCATGATTTTCTGTTATATAAATAATCTAAGAAGAAAGTTCTTCCTTTGTAAATATGACGTAACTTCTTAGGTAAGTCTGTCTCAACTTTCTGCCCAGGCTTTGAGGACTAAGTGTCATACAGATTTTGCAGTGCCATGCATATTTGCACAAAATTTGTTCATAAGTGTTTTCACTTAAATCTGCTAGGTGTTTGTTATGATCTGTTGCTTTTTTTTGTTTCTTACTCTCAGGTCTTTGGAGTTATTCTTTGCTACCAGTCAAAACAACAGAGGAGAGTACCTGGCTGATGGGAAGTCACCACATCTCTGTCGCAAGTTTTCTTCTCCTCCTCCATTGTCACTCTCCAGAACTTCGTCACCTGTCAGAACCCGAAAACTGTCGTTGACCTCACCACTGAATTCAAGGATTGGTGCCCTTGACCTCTCTACTTCATCTGTGGCGAGCAGTCCTACCTCGACCTACAGCCCAGCCACCTCCCCACCGCCAACGGGTAGTAAAGTACCCCTGGACCTCAGCAAAGGGCCCTCCTCTCCTGAGCAAAGCCCTGGCTCCATTGAGGACAGCTTGGAGAACCCTCGTGTTGACCTCTGTAACAAGCTGAGGAGAAGCATTCGAAGAGGTATTAACATACCCACAAAATACTGAATGTTACTTTTGATGAATAGGGTAGTCTCTAAGGTAGGCTTGACTTTTATCAGATTACTGCTGAGAAGTTGTTTCTCACATCTTTTTTTTTTCTCCTGATCACCATCAGTTGTGTTGTGAAACCAAATACTCTGCTCTCTCTTTCATCTCTAGTAGAGGCTGCGATGTGTTGTCTGTTTCCACCGCTTTGTTGCTTCTTGTAGGAATAGTAGTATGGCAGAATGGCCTTGTGCATTTTCCCTTCAGCAGAGCGTGAAGGAGAAAGGCCGAAGGAAATACTTGATGCCAGTTGTGTTTCCTGAGGTGAAAGATTTTGGAGTTGTACCATTACTACAGGAAGTAAAATATTAAGTTAAAAAGAAATAGGGATGTAAACACGTAACAGCTTTAACATGTACATAACAGGGCTAGTTTTCCAGGAGGATTTCATCACTAATCCAAACAGATAATTTATGTGATACACTTGGTACATTGGTGAGATTCATACCACCTGGTTGTTATCCATCCAGAAGGTAGATGTCTAATATAGATTAATTGCTCCTGGGCAAATGCCTGCTTTCCTCTACGGGTTGGGTAGAGCACCTTGGAATAGGTACTGCTTCCAGAGGCCTAAAGTTAGTTGATATAAACCTCAATGGGATCATTGTATTTATATATGGCAAAGCAAGAATGTATCTCTAATTTCATAGGATACATAAGTGTGCACCTATTTCTTATTGCTCTTTGGGGATGGAGAGGTGGTCTTCTGAACTAGAATAGAAGTATACAGTAATTTTTTGTATTGTTGTTACACGAAACAGAAGACAAGGAAATAAAAAAAAATGCTATTTTTTCCCTAAAATTCATGTTTAGAAAAGGTCTTGCATGGCCTGACTCACAGTCTGAGGAATTTGAACTGTTAATCTGAGCAAAATGTAGCTCAATTTTACTTGCAAGTACTGTAACAATGAAAATTGATACAACCCAAGAGGGAAGAAGAAGAAGATTATCAAACATAAACTAAGAAAAATATGATTGTAGCATTATGTCTACTCCTTATTGATGAATTGAAATAAGAAATTTGATGTTGTATTATACAGAGAGATTGTTTTTACAGAATGTAGTCTCTTGTTTAAAAAAAAATTGCCCACCTTAGCATTATAGGAGTCTATGCTTGCCCATGCTTTATGCTTTCATAAAATGCTGGTTGGCTGTTATACTTAATAATTATATTTCTGTATGCTGGATGTTTTTAAATGAATAGCATTACAGACCATTTATATATATAAAATATAGTATTTTACTATGTAGAGTTGGACAAATTCTTCTTGTGCACTAGTGTAACCACATTGAAATCCACGTGATAGCACAGCATGTCCCAAAATAGAGGCCATGCATTAGAAGTAATTGTACACAGGTAACTGCAGGCTTATGTGTAATGTTTTTTGCTATATACTGTAAAGTAAACTAGTAAAGAATAACCTATTCTGACCTAGTGTTAGCACTAGGCATTGTTGCAGAGGTATTAAGATTTTGCATTCTAGTCTATCAAAGCTGGAAGTGTCATCTGGGCAGCATGAGAAACATTTGGAAATGCCAAGAACCTCATATAAATGCTAAATTGCTGTCTGTGCAGTGTCTCCAGTCCCTTTGGGGATCTCCCGCTGAACAATTTGCACTCAGTTTGGAGGAATTTGCAGCTATATAGCTCTGTTCCGTGGGGTAAAGTCCTTTTGTCACACAGCTGCATAGAGCATGTTGAGGAAGAGGAGTAAGTTTAAAGAAAAAATCTCACAAGGGGAATGGAAATGGGTAGTAGGAGAACTACAAAATGCTAATCTGCACGTTGCCTGTCATACGTAATGCGTTTTTTTGGTTTTAAAGTTTTCTGGGTAAGGATGCCATTTCTACTTAAGCAGGAGGCACCACCCCCTTATGGTTAATACTGTTGCTCTGGTACTGTTAGATTTCCAAGAAAACAGCTGTGGCTAACTCTGAATCCAATATAACCGTACAAATTCTGTTCAGCAGGACGTATTATAGTGGTTGTTGTTCTCCTTGAATGTTGTCCATTTACATCCTGGAATTTCACCTTCTTCACCCACTTCCAAAGTTGTTGTTTGCTTTCAAAGTTTTTGTTTTCCAAAGTTTTTGTTTATATATATATTTTTCGATATACAATGCTTATGCTGCTGGCACAGTTGTAACTCATATCAAATGCAGGATATATTTTATCAGCTTCTTTTCCCTCATTTTGGAAGTAGTATTTCTGCCATTCCTTTTTTATTCTTTTATAGAGGAACTCCTCCATGGAGCAATCTGCTCTCCAGTACTGTTTGGCCATTTTATTGGGCAGTTTTTGATTACACATAGTTATCCACCAAGGATTATTTTCCCTAGCTCATACAAAACCTGTGAGTTCAAGTATCCTTAATACATGTGTATTTCACTGCATATTCTGCTGACTTAAAGTGCAGTCTTATCCAACCTATTTTTAAAACTGACAACTTGCTGGTTTTCACCAAGTTCCTTATTTATGAGTTTTTGTGTGGCTATGTCATTGGTACAAAACTTTCCCAGTCTTCTAACTCCATCCAGAGGATAATTATTGCTGAGTCTTGTTAATGCAAAAGTTTCATGGAAACTTCCAGAAGCAGCACTGTTTAAAAAACTATAAACCAGAGATCAAATGGAAACAACTTAGTGTTAGATGGTATTTAGTGGTATTAGGTTGGTATTGAAACACTGGTAATAAATGCTGTTAATTAATGGCCATTTTTAAAACATTACCAGTTTTGGTAATCACCAAATGGCTATCACCATCAGTGAAGCCCCCTTTGATGTACATACTCTTTTTTGTCATGCAGTACAGTTCATATTGTTCAAAGTTGATCATTTGCAGACTTTCTGTCTCTTGGTGTTTGTAAACTGAGAGTCTTGAATCACCCACATACTCTATAATCTCTGCAGAAGCACTCCGTATCTAAGACAAACTAACCTAATACTCTCTGCTTTAAAAAAGCGTATCTTAAAGCCCCATACTGTAGTTCTGTATGACCTCTTGGATATTTTCAAAGAATATTTATACTTTATAAATACATTAATTTAATGTAATATAATATAATACAATATAATATAATACAATGTAATATAATACAATAATTGATACATTAATATACATTGTTATAAATGTATTTTAATAAAATATAACGTAATATAATATAGTACAATATAATTATAATATAAAAAGTTCTAATAATGAGTTGCAAGTTACGAGTGATAATGCCAGTATTAACATTTACTGTCTTTTAAAGCAGCAGTTCTAGAATCTGTGTCAGTGGACCGGACAATCCCTGAAAGCACCTCGGCAGTGGATACCACAGAGCTTTCACCGTGTAGATCCCCTTCAACACCACGTCATCTCCGCTATCGTCAACCAGGAGGTAAGAAGCTGATGTTTCTTGCCTCTGTGAGTCACTTTAAAGAGTTTATGTACTAGAGCTGTAATCTTTGCAGGTTATTAGGAAAGAATCATGTTTGAATAATGTGTTTTGCTTGTATTTTCCTTATTTCTCAGGTATTTAAAAAAAAGCCGTTAGAATGTGAATTACGCTGGTTAATTTGTATAGTAATAACAAGAGACTTGGAAGCATATTGGGACTTTGGTAGGATGAAATATTCTGTACAGCTTGAGCAGGATGTGCCCAAGTTCAAGACTAATATTGAATCAGTCTTATTCTCACAAAACTCTCAAGACCTTGACAGATTTTTTTCAGCTACTAAGAGGACATACTTTGGGCACCATATGTAATCATGGAATACAAAACACCCATTATTGTCAATGGGGAGTGACTGTGTCTGTTTCTTCATATAACACTGAATATTTACAGATGGTGTCACATTATTCATTCCAAGATTTGAATAAACTGCTCAATTGAAGAGGAAGAGCGAGAGATGGAGCTCCTCAAATAGCTCTCACGTGACTCTTTGAAATCATTAGCAGAGCTGTGAGCTACGTCCATGAACGCTTAAAATGCTGCCATCTCATGTAAGCCAGATTTCTAGGCAGTTATTTCATGCCTGGGATTAAAACAACAAAACCAGAGCAGTGTCTTCTCAACTGTTAATAAGTTGCTGAGACACTTTAATTTTAAACCAATAGTAATCTTCTGTTACTGGGCATGTTTATGGTGAGATGACAAGATTTGGGAGTTGGAAACTGGGGAACAATGCCATATTATCTGAGTACTAGTCAGAAGCAAGGTTCACAGCGCCCCCTATAAAGTTTGATAAATTGTGCAGAACTGTACTCATCCTAGGCAGTGACCTGGGAAAATATGTGAATCTAGTTATCAGAAGTTGGTTAATATGCTTAGCTCTCTAACATGAATCTTTAGTTAGGTTGATTTTCTACACCATTGGTTTTGTCTTTTTTTTTTCCTTTTTCTGTTTGGTTACTTGTTGGTTCTGTTGGTTGCTTGTTCCTCACCTTGCCAGTGTCTTAGACACTTTTTTCCATAGCAACATTAATTATACTGACCTGGATATGAAACTTAAATTGCAAATAAGATTATGACGTTTTTATTTCCCTTAATATTAAGTCCTCTGGCAATGAAAACATAACATGTTCACAAAGTATAAACATTAGTGAAGATTTTAAGGTTTATTGTTGTGTAACTTGAAAAATATGAAAAGTATGTATCCTTTTCTCTGTCCATTTCCTTTACAGTACAAACTGCTGACAACAGCCACTGTTCGGTTTCTCCTGCTTCTGCTTTTGCTATTGCTACAGCTGCAGCAGGGCATGGGAGTCCACCAGGTGAGAGAAATGTGTTGTACCAAAGAGAGATAATAATAAGATACCTAGGTCTGAAAAGGTGAATATTTTTTAAGAACATACTTATCTGAATCCTAAATAGCCTCTGATTTGTTACTTGAATCTGCTGTTGTTTTGAGTCTGGAATCCTGCCCTTTGTGTGGACATTGCAGTACAGGATTCACAGATAATTGGAGCCTTGGCTTCCAATTATGTGGCCGTTATGAAAGCATTTGTAATGTAACACATTTAACTGAAAGTGGAATTGACTCATAAGAATGACTAAAACATCTTAAGGCAGGGTGTTCAGGTGCATCCACCCTGTTGCATTTCCTGCTGTGGCAGTCTGGAAATTTTGGCTGGTGAAGCAATATACGTCACCAAAGAGTAAAATCATCTTTTAGCCTGTTTATATACTACCCTGTCCTGGGGACTTGCCAGCAACCATCATTGTATCTGTTTGAAAGAAGTAAAGGATGAGAAGGTATTCAGAAATATCTTTTAGAACAAAACATGAAACCTATCAAATAAGGACTGCATACTATACCACATCTTCAAGAAACTCGTTAGAGCTTTGTGCCTTTGTTTTGTGGACTCTAAGAAGATTGCCATACTATTCAGTGAGATTTTGAACTATTGTGGTATAAGCCATTGATAGCTTTTCTTGCTGACTTAAATCAGAGTTATATTTGGCACTCCACATTTCCAGTTCACCTATCAATCAGTTGAATTCTTGTATTCTGTCCTTAATACTAGTCCAGCCTATTACTGAAAGGTTAATATTTTACGTATATGTAATCTTCCAAACACCTAGATCATATCTTTCTTGGTTTTATTTTTTTGTATTCACTTACAATTTTATTTTGAAAATGAGCTTTTTTATGCCCACGGTTGGTATATATAACAGCAGTTGTACTTCACTAAATTATTGCAAGTGTGTACTGTATATTCCTTGGAAAGCAGCTATGTTGTCTATTGACTGGAAGTATTTAGTGCAACTTAAAATACTTAAGTTTTGAATTCACTTGCTGTCTTGCTGTGTACCCTTTGACATATTAGTATTTTCCACTGAGTCCTGTCCTAGGTCATGGTACAAATAAAAAGCAACTTTTTTAAGGTCCACAAAATTACTTTTACTTTGCATTGACACACCCAAACCCCACAGTTCATTTTGATTATGTATGACAAAGCATAGTCCAACTGTAAATTAAAACCTGCCTCTTTTCCATCATAACAGTTGGAATGTCAAGAAACTGCTTTGAAGACCCTAGTCTCAAAATCACTCATGAAATTCTATGCAAGTCAGTAAATCATCACCATTGATTTCAGTGGATTTTGTATCCACTGTGTCTAAAGTTGTGGTCATTCACTTGAGTGAGTAGGCATCATGAGAAAATAATTTCTGGATAAACCTGGATCAGCACTCCTATTACTCTGGTGTATTTCCTGTGATCTTTAGATGGTAACAAGAGAGTAAAGTTCAGTTTTAGGAATTTTATGAACCTGTCACAAACATGTACTTAGTAATTTTTTTTGAAATTATGAGTATCCTCTGCCTTTGGAATCAGGCACTGTCAAGGAATCAGCAACATTTTGCTTTATGAATTAATTCCAGTATGTTTACAAATTGTTCAAAAAACACAGTAAGAATAAAAAATACTGTTTTTTCCTGCTAGGACCAATGCAATTAAAAATTACTGCTTTTATATTGCTAAAAGCACAACTTTTCAATATTTGTAGTATTGAAGTATGAGAGGAAATAAAATCTGCAGGTATGCAATCAATTGAAGGAATATCAAAGCATGGGGCTGTTGAAAAAGGAAAAAACAACATCCCTAATATTCTTAAGTACTTTTTTGTATTGCTGTTTAAGCTAGTTCTACATAAAAGGTCATTCTCCTGCGTGATGTAAAAGACCAATAAGAAGGTTCTGCAGCAAATCTGACAAGAAAAGTGTGTGGTGGGGAGTCTGAGGAGACTGAGCTGGAGCAAGGCTGGCCACATGTAATCAATATGAAAATTCAAGGCTACAAACCACAGCTCAAACAGCTGAATTACCTGTTTTGTAACTTGATGCAGTTCATCATGGTAGAGATGGTATTAAAGCTGCAGAGTCATGCAGTTCAAATTTGGGTAATTCAAATAATTTTATTTCTTCCCCATGTATATGTTATCATAATCATGCGTGTTTGTAAAATAATGCCTTTTTTTCCAGTGGGCTCCTGTCTCATTCACTGCATAGGGTGGACATGATCCCTCAGTGAATCAGTTTGGGTAGTGAATGAGATTTATGGCTTTTTTTCTTTTTTCAGTTGGTCCTTGGCCTCACTGCCGCAGACATTTTGATGTGTGCCATTTAATATACTCGTACATGGAACATAAATAGAATGGCAGGTGACATTCAGTGTTGATAAATACTAAGTGATGCACATGAGGAAAACTAGTCTCAGCTCTACACTTGAAAGGATGGTCTCTGTGCTGGACATTATTGCTCAGGAACAAGATCTGAGGATTACAGTAGATAGTTCCCTTAAACGATCTTAGTGCTCAGCAGGACCCAAAAAGGTAAAGGAAACATCAGGAATTATTAGCAGAGGAATAAAGGACAAAGCAGAGAAGACCAGCATAAATCCAGAATTTGCATGTATATTGAAGACTATGTAGAGTTGCGGTATGTCCTGTTTGAGGGGAGGGGATGAGAACTAGAGGAGGCTGAGAGTTTGTAATCAAGGATGAGTGGAAGTATAAAATGGCTTCTGTGCATTTGGAGTTTAGAGAAGAGATTACTTGGAGGGTTGATGAGAAAGTTCTGCAAAATCATGCATGTCACAGGGAGGGTAAGTAGGCATTTGTTGCTTTTTCTGATGCAAGAGGTAGGAGGCAACAGATTAATTTCATGAGGCCAAGGTTCAAAGCAAACATGAGTTTCTGGTTCTTTGTGCAATGAATATAAGGCCTTTGAGATTCTGCTGAGTGACATTGGGAAATTAAGAGATCCAGGTTCAAAAAGTGGACAGCTGCCTGCAAGTGAGAGTAGTAGTTTCTACGCTGGAAACTAGAACAGATCAGGACCTGAAATCAGTTGAAGGTTGTGGGAGAGTATTAGGAGGTAAGAGTCATCTGTGTGTCTTCTGTTCTCAGTGTTCCCTGAAGCCATCTGGCTTCTAGCCGTTTTGTTTTGTTTGCTGTGTTTTCCCAGGGTATGATCCCTTAGCTCTTCTCAACTTTCCGTCTTCCAGTTCTGACTGTTCAAGGATGCATTGAGGCAAGCAGGTTAACAGACTCATTGGAAAGTCCTGTAGTCACACACTCTACCAGAACCAAACACGAAGAGTATTTAATCATCTCCTGTGGAGAGTGCTGGCCATAACATTTTATAATTACTGTCACCATGCAATGATAAGTTTATATACTGATAAGTATGCAAAGCTCTGAACAGCTCTCCCAGGGCATATGATGGCTTTGTGTATCTTCAGAAAAGCACCTAGGGCAACACTGCCTATGTTGGTGCTGTCTGCAGGCTGCATGACAGCAAGTGGCTTGATGGGAAGCCAAAGTTGAAAGACTTTTGAGTATTTTGGTCTGCTATAGATATTGGTGCACTTCCCCCTTTGGATGCAGCCTGAGCGCAGTGCTTGTTGGCAGTGTTCTCAGTCTGCTCCATCCCCACTCTGTGGGGATCAGTGTGGGTTCATTTGTTATCTGGGTGCACAGCAGGTACACGTGTAGGGCTAGCAGGGCCCTAAGAACAGCTCATGCTTGGGTTGCCCCACCACACCATATGCTGCATTCACTTAGGAGCTGCTGAAAAGGAGGTGCTGGGCACCACAGCATTGGTCTGCAGCATGCAGAGCTTCCGGCAATATATGGAACCTTTCTCTGAACCAGGATGATTCAGGTTCTTATGCACTTCAGCAGGTTTTTTTTAACTTAATGATTTTGTTGCCATTAATTTCAGATATTTTACAAGGTAGCTGCTTTTATGATGCCAAGCTGTACTACTTGTCCTATTGTTTAGTGCATCTGTCTAGTTAAATATTAATCTTTACATATCTTAAACATGTTTTTGTCTATTGTCTTCCAGAAAATTTGCCTATTACATGTTTATTTTAACAACATGATAAAGGTAAATAGAAATACAAAGTGAAAGCATAGAAAGTTAAATAAGACACCCCAGGTGCACAGCTTGGTGCCTGCATGAATGATAATATGCACAGTAGGGATAAATAGAGCATGTTGTGTCTTTTACATGTCCTTTCTCTTTTGAGGGATGTGAAGGATGGCTGGATGGCTTATGGCTTGCTGTAGTTGTAGTGCTCTGTCAGCATTAACAGATTGCTGCACACTTTCATTCTTTTCCCAATTTGTAAGAATAGGATAATAATACTAACACATTCTAAAATAGAAATGGACAGGTCAAAGCATCATTATTCTCCAGTCTTCTACAGCTTTCTTTCATGGCAATAAAGCTCATTCTTCAGCAAGGGAAGAGGACAAAGTTATGCAAGCATCATTCTCCAGAACAGTGAAAGATACCCTGTTTTCGTGACTGGATGTAAACTAATATAAACTCAAATTGTGGATACAGGGACACATATTCTTTACTTATTCTGAATTACTATCTCCCTTCTCATGACTCTATCATTGCTCCTAGCACTTCTGCTCACCTACATGCTTCTCAGAGTGGTAGGTAAGCCCTGAGTAATCACAAACATATGCCTGCTCAGAGGCATCAGTTACTTGGGCTGTTTCTTTCCCCTCTCTTCATATACCTTGAGAAAATTCGTTCTTGATTTCTGCTTGGATCAGTGACAGCTTCCATAAGCAACACAGAAGTTATCTAGCATCTCTGCTCTGATGTCTGTCTTATAATAATGCTAACGTTCTCATCCTAATGAATGTCCTGCTAATCTCTTCTTTTAGCTTTGCAGTGAGAGTTAGGTAGTCCTTAAGCAGAGCTCCAGGGAGCTGCAGTGAGCCCCATCCCTTCAGGAGTGATTTGC